TGCTGCTCTGGGGACCAAGCCTTCAAGATAGGAGCCTCTGGGAAAGGTTTCAGGTACAAAGCGCAAAAGCTGCTAAACAGCACAGCTGGTATTCGAATATCAGCACTGTGTGGTTCTTTACTCGATATGAGCCTCTGTGCTATGTGGCGGCCCTCTCTGTCCAGTGCCCACCTCTGACCTCTGGGCATTGCCCTGACAACTACTCCAGTCACCCCTCATTCACTGGGCAGGGAGTAGGCACCATGATGAGATGGGGGTATATAGCAAAATCTAGGCCTCTGTCCTGAAAGAGCTTTTGGTTTACTTGGGTGGGCCAAGCTTTCTACCCCTGGTCCTCTTGTCCACTAGAGAGCCTTTGTGCGATAGTGGTTGAGTGCACTGTATATGGACCCCTCCTCTATATGTCAGCCAGGATTCTGGTCTTGCTCTTGATGACATCACTGCATTCTGAGCATCCGTAGGGCACAGGGATGTAAAGGGAGCAGTAGACCCAGAGTGGATGACAGAATTTCCCTCCTTTCTGCCCGTGGGTATTGGGTCCCCAAAAGCATTCCATGTGTTCAGCTGAGGCAGGGACCACACATGCTGACACCTCCCTAATATTTCTCCTGGGCCTGTGTATCTAGGAGATTCTTTCTATGACAGTAGGAGTGGAGGTGCAGGAAAGGGCTATGCACACAGGAAAAAGAAAAAATACTCATGCTGGGTGTAGGGGCACACACCAGTAATCTCAGCTACATGGGAGGCTGAGACAGGAGGACTGCAAGTTTGAGGCCAGTCTGGGTAATTTAGGGAGATGCTACTTCAGAATAAAAGGAAACAAACAAACGTTTTAATTTTTCTCAAAATGGTCTGAGCCAGTTTGGTGCTTCTTGGTAGATTCAGATAACAGTGTTATAAGACAGGTTAGAGTCAGGTGTGGTATCCTGCTGCCCTACAACCTCTCTAGCAGGTGATAGTGAAGGCAAATATTAGACCAAATTTGCTACACGAATTGACAGTCATCACACAGACATTCAGCAGCAAAGTGGGGTCTTTTTTTTGTTGTTATTGTGTGTGTGTGTTGGGAATTTAACTCAGGGGCTCTCAACCACTGAGCCACATCCCCAGCCCTATTTTGTATTTTATTTACAGACAGGGTCTCACTGAGTTGCTTAGTTTCTCGCCATTGCTGAGGCTGGCTTTTTGAACTCACGATCCTCCTGCCTCAGCCTCCTGAGCTGCTGGGATTACAGGCATGTGCCTCTGCGCCTGTCAAAAGTGGGGTCATTTTAAAGATAAAACAGGATCTATAAAGTAGTTTCAACATCTCAATGAAGTCCCAGCTCCATGTTTCAGGCTATCTGCCCACACCCCAGGGTGAGGAGCCCATCACATTCCTAGGCAGGCTTTGGTGTCCTCAGAATTTCTACTCATGGCTGGACACAGGATGGCCTGGGGGTGGAGCTGTGTGTGTAGGAGTTGTGCAGTTACCCCAGCCTCACCTGCATGCAAGGTAGAGAGCATTCTAGACTCTGTTTGTTAAACCATACCTCAAAGGCCTTGGACGTCACCAATGAGAGCCCATTTTTAAATCTACCACATTTTTGTTTGTGTGTTTTCTAATGTGATAATTAAATTTATTGGTGGCTGAATGATCTACTCAACACCAAAGGACATGTGACTTGTCCTGTAATGTGCCCACTGCATGCTGGCGCTGTCTACATGTGCACTGTGAGTCAAAGCTTATAAAACCAGGCCTCATATCACATTTATTATATTTAGTTTAAAAAATTAAATTAAAGAAAATACTGCTGGGTGCAGGGGTACATGCTGGTAGTCCCAGCTACATGGGAGGCTGAGGCAGGTGGATTGCAAGTTTGAGGCCAGTCAGGGCAATTAGGGAGATGCTATTTCAGAATAAAAAATAAAAAGGATGGGGGAATGTAGCTGAGTATAGCATGCCCAGGGGGTCGGATCCCTAGTACTGGGGGAAAAAATGAAAGCCAGTCACCAACATTGTAACAGAGAACAAAGTCCCAAGTGAACCAGAGTCCAGCACCCGCAGGCTCCAGTGTGCAGCAGCACACCAAGGGCAGCTGAACGTGGTCCAGGCGGAGGCTCCTGGGGCCAGGGCCAGGAGTTTCAAGCTTTCTGAGGGTGTGAATCCACCGGGGACCCTCCCAATGAGTTGGTTTCCTTGCTGCCTTGTGGGTGTTTCCTTCAAAGACTGCTGATGCTTGAAGAACTAAATAATTATAATAATGATGATAAAATAGAGATGGATTTCCCAGCTGAACAGAAACTGGATAAGACAAGGAGGTTCCCACACCTGACTTATGTTTTTTGGCACCAGGCTCCTGCAGCCCCAGGGAGGCAGATTCTGGGTCTGCTGCTGGCCTCTTTGAGTTGTGGTCATGGTGGGGGACAATGGGGAACCGCTGGGGAATTTCAGAAACATCTGCAGGGATTTTCCTCTCCCAAAATGGCAAGCTGAGAACTAGAAGCAAAGGACTGGATAAGCTCTTCTCTCTTGCCTTACCCTCTTGTGAATGCCTAGAAACTTCAAGACCAGCTGGGTGTTGTGGCACATACCTGTAATCTCAGTGACTGTGGAGGCAGAGGCAGGAGGATTGCAAGTTTGAGGCCAGCCCAGGCAATTTAGTGAGATCCTGTTTTAAAATAAAAGAAAAGGGGCTGGGGATGCAGCTCAGTGGCAAAGCGCTTGCGTGATGTAGAGAGAGGTCCCAGGTTCAACCTCTATGACCACAAAAAATGAAAAGCAGGAGAAGCCAAAACCTCAAGATGAGGAGGCTGAGGCAGGTGGATTGCAACTTTGGAGCCAGCCTCAGGAACATAGGGAGGCCCTGTTTCAAAAAAAAAAAAAAAAAGGTCTGGGAAGGTAGCTCAGTGGTAAAATGCCATTTGTTTCAAACCCCAGTACCAGAAGAAAAACCCCCATCAGCAACAACAATACAACCTCAAGGCCAGGTTCCTGGGAAAGAAGCCCTCAATCTGCCCAGACACTGGCACACTGGGAAAGAAGCAGCCAGACCCATCCTGGTGGGTGGCTGCATATGTTGCACCTGACTACCTGACAGATTCAAGGAGAGCACATGGCCATTGCTACCTTACTGCCCCCTTGACAGGATGCCCAGGGAAACATGGATTCCACAGATAGATGTATCATTAAATGCAACAAAAATGCACAATGCTGAGGCCCTGGGTTCAATCTCAAGCACAAGTGCACAGAAAGCATATTGTTTCCTTGGTAGACCTAAAGCAGTAATCTTCTACAAAGCAAACACAAGTCTGTCTCAAGGGAACATGAGATGGGGGAGTGCCTGAATGAAAGGAGGGAATTTACAGTTATGTGGTTGGCTCTCTCTAAGATGGCATTGACCTTGGCGGTGGTGAAGGTGAGAGATGGGAAAGGAAGAAATGGAAATGAGGCCTGGTAACAGCTGTCTCGAGGCCTCTTTCTAGGCCAGACAGGCAGTGCTTACTGACATAAAATTCTGAGGACGATCTCATGAGATCTGTGCTATCAATACTCTCATTTCACAGATGAGAAACTATAAACACAGACAGCCCTTTGCTTGAAGTTCTCCAGTGAGGCAATGAGGAAGATGGATTGGAAAGGGGATGGGATTGGTTATAATGCCTCCTTTCGTTCTTTGCGGGAGCTGTGATAACTTTTCACTTCAAACAACCAGCTTCCTCTCACCTCAGGCTCTTTGAACATACTGTACATTTGATCCTTTTCCTTGACTCCTTCCTTCTCTTCCTTCAGCATGTTAGCCAAACCACTTTTGACCCTTATTTTTCTGGCTTCATTTGTACTATCTTTCTTTCTTCTCAGGATTTGTTCAAAACTGTTTAAATCATTATTCTCATGATCTTCTACTAAAAGTTAGCCTTAGGGCTAATTTTTAATACTGCTAAGCCACAACACCCCCCCCCCCTTAGGGGCTGGGGTTGTAGCAATAGATTGCCCAATTAGCATGTGTGAAGCCCTGGGTTTGATCCTCAGAACCACATAAAAATAAAAAAAAAGATATTCTGTCCAACTACAACTAAAAATATGTATATTTTTTAAAAAGTTAGCCTTAGCTGGGTGTGATGGCATACACCTGTAATCCCAGCAGCTAGGGAGGCTGAGGCAGGAGGATTGCAAGTTCAAAGCCAGCCTAAGCAAAAGAGAGGCATTAAGGGACTCAGTGGGACCCTTTCTCTAAATGAAATACAAAACAGGGCTGGGGATGTGGCTCAGTGGTGGAGAGCCCCTGAGTTTAACCCCTGGTATCCATCCCCCCAACAAATCCTCAATAAAAAAAGGCTTTTTCATCACCCTAGCAAACAAGCCCCAGCAGGGAAGAGTTGTAATCCTTCTGCATTGTTGTACCCTCAGTATTGGCACACAGTAGGCACACAATCAATAAATAAATGTTGAATAAACAAGTGAACCAAGGAAGTTATAAATCTTCCTCCCCAAAATGACTGATTCTCAGGGGCTGATGAAAATTCTCCCCACAGAGAGTGAGACTTTCAAGTAATTAACCATCAAGTAAAAGTTGCAAATTTCAGATTGCATATATCCAAGTGACAGGTATCATTTAATATAAGTGTGCATGTGTGTATGCACATACAAGTAGAAATGTGTAGGGGAGAAGGTGGTCACTGGGTCACTTACTGAAAGCATTTTTTTTTTAACTGGTATTGGGACTTGAATCCAAAGATGCTCTACCACAGAGCTCCATCCCTAGCCTTTGTGTTTTATTTTGAGACAGTATCTCCCTAAGTTGCCCAGGCTGGTCTTGAATTTATGCCCCTTTTGTCTCAGCTGCCCTGATAACTGGGATTACAGGCATGTTCCACTGTGCCTGGCTTGCAAAGCATCTCTTAAAAGACTCTGGGAACTCTTCAGGATCTAATTTAGAGGCCACAAAGGGAACTCTAACATAGGATTTTGTTGGGGGTGGGGGGTGGATACCAGGGATTGAACTCAACCACTCAACCACTGTGTCACATCCCCGGCTTTATTTTGTATTTTATTTAGAGTCAGGGTCTCACTGAGTAGCTTAGCACCTTGCTTTTGCTGAGGCTGACTTTGAACTTGCAATCCTCTTGCCTCTGCCTCCTGAGCCACTGGGATTACAGATGTGTGCCCCTGCGCAGGGCTCTACAGTTTTACAGGTTTGTTTTTGTTGCTGACTGGACTCTTGCATTCACCAGATCGCTCTGGATGATACACTTGCCTCTTCTTGGAAATTCAGAGCAGCAGCCTCACTTGCTCCATGTTCAGAGACACATTCTCAAGATGCATCATTTGGGAGAATGGCAGCTCTTTGGCTTCCCCTCCTCCAGCCACATGACGACTGAGGGAAAATGCCTATTTATGTGAGCAAGTCTTCTTTGTTTTCAAAATCATCAACTTGTAATCTTTCTTGCATTTATGATGTTGGTTTCTTACAGTTTACTCTGGGTTTTCCAACCACTTCTCTGAGCAGGGCAGAAAAGTTGCCTCCTCTAAATCTTGATCCACCTAAAGCAGATGAAATTGAGGTCAGAAAATGCCTTTTAAGTGTTATAATTGCCATGTGCGGTGGCACAGACTTGTAATCCTAGCAGACCTGTAATCCTAGCAGCTCAGGAGGCTGAGGCAAGAGGATCACAAGTTCAAAGCCAGCCTCAGCTAAAGCAAGGCACTAAGCAACTCAGTGAGACCCTGTCTCTAAAGAAAATATAAAATAGGGCTGGAGATATGGCTCAGTGGTAGAGTGCCCCGGGTTCAATCTCCAGTACAAAAAAAGTTATTGTTTCTATTATTATTATTATTATTATTATTATTATTATTAGCATTGTGGATTGAACCCAGGAGCACTCTACCACCAAGCTACATATATAGTATTTTTCATTTTTTTTTTTTAATTTTTGAGATAGAGCCTTGATAGATTGCACAGGCTGGCCTCAAACTTGAGATCTTCTTGCCTCCTCAGTTGTTGGAATAACAGGCATGCACCTTGGGCCAGGGACCTTTTTAACAAGGGAGGGGCCCTAAACCCTGCCTACCTGCTGGAGGTAGGCAGATGCTGTAAAATACATCACCTGAAAATGACTTTCTGGTATAGAGTCACCAGATTGGTGAGAAGTAAGGCCCAGGCTTCAACAAATGTCCCTTGAGACCCTTCAGGTATAAATCCGAGCTCAACAGGGCTAGGGTAGTAAGAGGGATAGTACTGGTTTTTTGCAGCTCTGAGATTTTCCTTATAACAACATTTTTCTGGAAGGAGTTTAAAATGAAACAAGCTTTAGAGGAAACAGGAGAAACGAGGCAGGAGGAGGTCGAGCTCCCTCTGCACCCTGGTGCACCCTGACTGTAGCTGACAGGGGCACAACAGCCAGGTCTGGGGTGGGGGCGGGGTGAGGGTCTAGTCGCAAACATGCTTCAGAGCAGTGTGGGCAACTCATCCAAAAAAAAAAATTGTGTGCTGCTCCAGGACCCTCATCCTTGAGGATTAGTTCCAATAGGTCTTTGGTCATCCCTGCCACCCCCCCACCCTCCCAATTTCCCCCGCGCCCCGCCCAGTCCATTCTGTTACCTCCACCTCTGGCCTCTGAGCCTCCCGCAGTTCCCTTAGGACAGAGAAAGGGCAGAGGCACTGGCGCCCCTTCCCGCAAGATGACCCCCTCCTTTCATCCAAGGCAAACCATCCCCACCTCGCTCCTTTTGTTTGCCACCTCTCTCCTGGATGGGTATGATCTGCATGCAGTTTCCACACACACACACACACACACACACACACACCCGCCCGGAGAGCAAGGGCTGGCCCTCTCTCCATGGGCCTCGATCCCAGGTGCCAGAGGGGGTGGGGGGGGGCGGCTGGTTCGGCCCCTCCTTCCTGGCTCTTTCCCAGTCGCCTAGCAAACTCTGCCCTCGCCTCGGCCCTTTGCACTCTTCAGTCTAACCCTGGCCATCCCTAGCTGCAGGAGGTGGCTCCTTGGAAATGTTGGACATTCTCGGACTCACGACCTGGGGAGGGCGGTGGCTGAGAGTGGCAACCCTATTCCAGAGAAGGGGAGGACCTCGGGGTCTAGGTCTTACTTAGTAGATGACAGGCTAAGGCCTGTCCTGGTATCCTCATGCTCGGTCTCTGCTGTAGGAGTGTTTGCCTGGACATTGCATTTCTCCTGTCACCCCACTGTACCTCGGAGATGGCCCCCTGCCTAAGGCCTTTCTCCGCATCCGCAGGCCTGCTCTCCCTAGCAGCAGGGGTGCGGGGTGGCATCTACCTCAGCAATCAGACCAGCACGGGGTTGGCGAGCAGGGCCCTTCGGGACTGCAGAAACTAGCTGAGGGGGCTGCGGGCAGGCTGGCGGGCAGGCGGAACCGAGGGGTGCGGGCACCCTGCTTGGGGCAGCGCTGCTTCTGGGCTGGCCCAGCGCTGCTCTCAGAGGCAGCGGGTTTTTCCGTGAAAGGTTGCCCTGGGTAACTCGACTCTGAGGGGACACAGCCCTCCCCTCTCCAAGTGGCAACATATCCATCCCCGAGATTGATAACCTCCAGCTCTGCTCCGTGCATCCGCTCAGCTCTCCAGGCTCAAGGCGCGCAGGCCCAAGGTGGCGCCACTTGCCTGGGAGGGGGAGATGTGGGGGCCTCTCCCCTACTCGGGACATGGAAGCCTGCAGCTGGCGGGGGTGGTGGACGCTTCAAAGTAAAGGTTTAGGGGAGCCGCCCAGGGAAGACTTTCCTTAAGCATGTGCCCTTCCAGGACCCCAGGACCTGCTAGGAGATCTGAGCCTCAACTAGTTCAAGAACTACAGGGACTTGAGGCGCCCCTTGGCAAAACTTTGTGGAAAGTAGCAACTGGTTTATTTTTGCCAACCTCGGAGGGAAGGGGTGCTACTGAAGTTTTCCTGAGATAGGTGTTAGAGTCACAGCCTGGAAGTGCGCACCAGGCTCAAGAACCCTACAAATGAGGGTATAGGCTAGCCCAGTGGTGTAAGCGTTTGTTGGATGTGGGGTAAGAGTGGTCTTGGAACACCAACCCATAGTCAAAAGTCAATTGAGAGGGAATAGCTAGGTCTGAGGATAATTCTAGTGCGTAGTGCTGAAGGACCCCAAGGCCCCAGGCCCAACATTAGGAAATCTAACCCCTGTGCCCTGAAGCTGCAAGATGTTCTCTTACACAACCCCCATGTCAAAACCCCACCAGCTGCACGTAGCATTTCAAGTCTTGCACAATGCCACCACAAGATGTTCCATATAGATAACCCTGGAAGGGCCAAACTTGAGCAAACAGGGTAAAAACAGGAACTAAACAGGGTAAAAACAGGAACTAAAAGGACAGGATGCAATTTTATGGTTTTTCCGAGAACTAAAGTGGGAAAACAAGTTTACCCCCCAGGTGACCTAAAGGCTGGATTCAGAGGAACCAATAGAATAACTGTTACTGTGCTAAGCTAAAAACTAACCCCCTGCTCTCTGTAAAAGATCTGTGCCCTAGAGCCCGGTGTGCCAGTTCACCGAAGCTCCGGCTGAGGTTTTGCTGAGCACCCGCAGGCGCCTGTGTAGCAATAAATCGCCTCTTGCTTTTGCAGCCAGTGTCTCGTGTGCTTTTCCTTGAGCAGGGAGTCGGAGGGTCTTTCAGTGCACAAGAAGCAATGCTAGAATAGCTAACCTGTTTGCTCCCCTATTCTTTCAATATTTGCAGTTTGTAATGCTAATGCATCTGGGTGAGCCTGACAGCCCGCGTGGGCCTTCTGTTCCCTCCTCCCGCCCCCGTGCAGCCAGAGCCCAGGCCCTTGGAGCCAGTGCGGTGCCTGCCTCCGTGGTCTGGGTTTTGCGGGCAGCCAGAGCTGTATTTCCAGCGCTGTTGGCCCTCTCACCGTCTGATCCGAGCTGGAGCAGTGGGGGGCGCCCCACGGGATCAGAGGCTCCCCTACCGGACTCAGCTCCTCACATCCTCCTGCTGGGACCCGGCTACATTTCCAGCCAAGCCTGGCTTTATTATGTGTCTCTGCAGTGCAGCCCCAGCAGCCGGATTGGGAGGAAGAGAGCCAGCGACCACAAAGAAGACACGAGCGCAGGGAGGCTGGCGGGCAGGACGGCATTGGCTGCGGCTAGAGAGCGGAGGAGCTGGGGCGCAGCCGCTGCTGCCTCCACCGCTGCCGCCTGCTCTTCCTCCTCCTCTGCCACCTCGGCCGCCGCCTCCCCCCTCTCAGAGCCCCTGGCCCACGGAGGCAGCTAGCAGGCCGGCGACTTGGCATCGCCTGGGGTTAGGCTGCGCACCTCTCGCTGAGCACCGCAGCCCAAGGGCAGGCAGCCGCGCCCCGGCGCCTGGGCAGAGCGATGCCTGGGGCATGGGTGTGCCTGCCGGCTGCCGCCTGAGCGCCTCCGAGCGCCACTTCCTCCTCTGGGGGGCCGGCGCCAGACTGAGCCAGAGAAGGGGGCTGAGCCAGGGGCTCCAAGCCGGGGCTTCCAGCCACTACAGCAGTTTTGAGCCCCCACCCCCAAGTAAGCTGAGTTGAGGTACCCCCTCGCCATCCATCATAATGTCCAAACCTGGCGTTTGGGCATTTTTTTGAGCCATTAATATTTATTTATTTTGTGTGTGTGCGCGGCAGGGGATATTTGAAGCATTTTTTTTTCCCCCTGCGGGTACTGAGCTCCCGACCACCTCCCGGTCTCCTCCCCTCCTGAGACCCTCTGGACTCCAGTTCCGTTCCCACTCCTCAGAGGGGTTCATTGTGAGCTCCTGCGTTGCAGGAAGCCTGCAAACTTTGCACAAAAATCCGGCAAGGGGCAGAGGGGGAGGAGAAGGAGGAGGAGGGTGAGGGTGGTGGGGGGTGGGGGAGAGAGGAGGGGCCCTAGGGGCCGGGGGCTGGCTGGGGGTAGGGAGGAGGGGCTAGGAGGGGGGCGTGGCTTTTTTTTTTTTTTTTTTGCATAACTGGGCTGGGTCACTCGCCGCAGGGACCGCCGCTGGGACCGGGAGCCCTTGGCTTTTGCATTCCAACAGGCAGGGCCCCTGCGTGCCCCGGGCCTCCCCCTCCCCCCCAGCGGCCTGGGCTGCCCCCCCACCTCCCCCAAGAGAGGCCGCCCCTGACCGGCGGTCCGCAGCCACCAACCCGGCTGCAAAAAAAGTTTCCGAGAGGCAGGCGGAGAAGGGAGAGGAGGGCTACCCAGAGCGGGCAAGGGCGGCTGGGGGCCCCGGCCGCGGAGGGCGACGGAGCTCCAGGAGTCCGGGACAAGCCCAGGCAGAAGCAGGGGAAGCCGCGCTCAGGGAAAGGTGAGTGTGGGAGGCCCGGTGGAGGCGGGAGGAAAGGAGAGAGGGAGGAAGGACTGGCGAGCGGGTGGGCAGCTGTGGACCCGCGGGAGCGAGGGGAGAGGATGAGGAGGAAGAAGAGGAGGGGGAGGAGGAAGCCAAGAGCGGGAGGCGGAGGCGGTGGAGGGGGCACGCCGTGGACACCCTACCGGCCTGGACCCTCTCCGGGCCTGGAGCCACCTCTAGCTGGGGACCCGGGCCTGGGGTCGCTCCCTCCTTGTGGGCCCCAGGCCCCCGTGGCCAATCAAGGGGTCCCGGCCGACTTGGCGGGGATTGCGAATCTCGGTGGCAGCGAAAGGAGGGAAGAGGCGGCGAGGACGGGCTCCCAGGAGGCTGGCAGCTTCCAGGCCGCCCTTGCTGGCCCCAGGCCTCACTGGCTTTCTCCAGCCCCCTCCTTGTTGCCCAGGGATGTGGAGAGCAGAGGGAGCGTGCTTCAGGCACGGCAGTATGGTCCCAGGCCACCCGGCGCCCCCTCCCCCCCCAGCGCCCCTCCCCCCCCAGCCCAGACCTTGCTCCCAACTCAGCTGTGCACTTTCTGCCTGCTCCACACACTTCCTGCCTGCTCCACGGAGGCCAACCTGGCAGGGATCCTCTGCCAGGAGTTCATTGTCTAGGCCAAGGGGACGCAGGTCCCCGGGGAGCCCTGCAGCAGTCAGGAGCGCCTCTCCATGCAGTGTGCCGGGTACCCCACCCCTGGCACACTCACCTTCCACACCCTGGCCAGCTTCCTGCACCGAGTCCCCAGGGTGTGCAGGCACTCCTTCTCCTTGCTTTGCTTTCTATTTACAGGATGTCCCCAGCTCCAGGGGCCCCTGGAGAGCAGAGGCCCTGGGGAGAGGCAGTGCGAGGGCTGAGCCCCTCCCCTGCCCTTTTCCCCTAACAGGCCGCCCTCTCCTGGCCTGGCCTGCTGCTTTGTCCCAATTCCAGCCCCTCAGATGGGTGCTTAGCCGCCTGGACACACTGAGGGATGACTGAGGAACAGGATGAGAGTGGCTATATGCCTCTGGAGCCTTAAAGTCCTGAGGCCCTTGTCCTCTCCCAACTCCCTTGATGATCTCTGGCCGCAGCCCAGTTCTGCTCTGAAAAGTTCATTTCCTGAAGGCCTGAGCGGGAAGGCGCTGGGGCCCGCTCTCTTCCTGCCAGCTTTGCTCTTGGCTGGAGTGGTTGAGACTGAATCTGGCAACTGAATCTGGTGATACAGTAGCCACCTCCCTCCTCCTAAAGTCCCAGGAAAGCCAGTGGCAGCTGGCCTGAAGAGATGCTCCCTGTCATCTTAGAAGAAAACCAACTCAGTTCAACTTTCAGCAGTCGGACTGCACCTCTATTACGCTTTGGGAAAAGTTGGTCTTCTGCTCCTTGTTCTGTATCACAATTCGGAATACCCTGTTCTGTCCCACAGAGGTGGGGGTACCAAGGGAAGGAAACCAGAAGAGACTCCCAGAACAGTAGAGGGAAGAAGGGTCGATGTTTGTCCTTTTGCTGAATAGAAGGGCACCCAGAGCTTTAAGTAATATTTGATTTTTTTTCTCTTTTCCTGGCTCATTGCTCACTCCTTCTAGAGCCACTTAAGAAGCAGATATTGGAATTGGAACTACTGGATGCAAATAGAGTTTTCTTTAAATCGGGCAGTTGATTTTGGGTGAAACTTGCAGATTTTTTTTTTTTTTTTTTGGTAAAGATGCAAAGCTTGCTTACCTATAACCTGGTAATGTGTCTTCATATCTCCTTATTTTAGAAGGCAAGCCACAGAAAGGAAAGGTAGAACAGTTTGCAGTGAACATATGGGTGGGTGTTTCAGAGTTGCTTGAACTGAATTCTAAAACCACTCTGTGGATCTCAGAGAAAGACTCAAGAATTGGTCTTTAGCCTTTCACGAAATAAGCCTTTAAATGATTTTAAATGAATCTACATGTACATGTGTGTATATGTAGCTGACAATTCAAGCAAATTGAGGAAGGAAGATAGCTAGGTGGGAGAAGACTAGTGAAGGCATTTTGATAAGTGTTGTACCAGCCACACAATCTCTCTGCAGAACCTTGGCATCGGAAGCCCCCTGATTCTTCCCATGGAGCTTTACATTTTCTAAAAGCAGCCACAACCTTTGTCTCTCACCATTTTGCCTTTTATTCAGTTTACTGGAGTGCATAGGGTGGAGATGTGGCCACTTATCAAGGGAGGAATTAAGAGAGTATATAATTTGAATAGATAAGAATTACAGCAAGTGAGAGATTTATTGCTTTTCAAGAACTGCCCCCCTTCTTGAAAGCAATATTCAAAAGTGTGTTCTTAAGTGTGGACAGCTCTGCACCAAGTGTTTGAAATGGCAAGGTCTTCACCTTTAAAGATGCTTGAAGATGCTTCTTAAGGAACAGTGGTGCCTTTTACATTTTAATTTATTTTATTTTGCCTCCACTGCTGTGTGTCAGGGCTAACGTGGTGGCATTGTGGACTTCCCCAGCTCCGAACATTCTGCAGTGGAAGTCGCTTGACCATAATTCGTAATTGATCTCAGAAATATGAAAGCCCGTAGCAGGAAGGAAAGACAGAAATGTAACAATTTTGAATGGATGATCAGAGAGTGTGATTTGAAAGCATAGGCATTGCTGCTTTGAAAATCAATCAGGCCTCAGGGGGGGCTCACTTCCCACTTCGGGGACACAGCCTCCCTCTGGAGTAGGGGGTCATTTGTCCCCCCAGGATGTTTGTCCTTCTCTGGAAAACCCAGATTTACCTGAGGGAGGATACCCAACAAATAGAGAAGGGGGCTGGGGTGGTAGGGCAGGGAGTGAGCAGCCTCATTGGTTTTCCAAAGTCTTGTGATTTTGTTAAAAAAACAACAACAACAAAAAAACAAATCCGTGAATGTTACAAAAGTCGCATTTTCTGACTTATTTTCCTACACCCCTTTCCCCTTTTGTGAGTCCTGGTGGTGCAGCGTGGTAGTTGCAATGATTTGTTCCTTTTGATCATTTTGGCCTCATTCTCCAGGCTGTTCCAATCTCACTCACTGATGTTATTTCGGCTAATAATATCAGATGGTTTGGTAACGATTACCTCGCAGTTCCCTCTGTCCCTCAATTGTTAAGGAGCCCTGGCTCCCTTTACCCTATGGCTGGCTGCTGCTGGATTCCTCAGATCCATGCAACAACTTCTCTCATTTCTATGGAAAAGGAATACGTCTTTTTTCCCATCCTTTTTAAAACTTTTGAATAATTTGTACTGCTGTCAGTTTTTCTCCATCTAGCAACTGCCTGTTAATTACAGTTCTTAATATTAATTAGCACTCAGGTTGTGTCCACATACCCCCACCCCAACATCCAAAACTACCCCCAGTGACTTTTCTCTCCTTCCCTCCCCTTCTTTGTCTTCTTCTGCCAGCCCCGAGCTCCTCCAAAGTCCATTTTATAATTTTGGTAGTCTAGGGACCTGGGAACAGTGTAGCTTGTCATTGCTAGTGTTTTCATGGAAATAATTGAGATGTAATAAATAGAGGCATTCTGAGGTTACAGGTTTCTTGATTCATCTGAGACCACATACAAGTGTAAATTGTTGACATTTGTTTGGCTAAATGTACATGATCTTGCAGGAAGGGCAAAACAAATCCTTTGTACGTTCCATAGCTTTCTATGTGGATTGGGGTAACTGATATTTATTCCTAATATTAATCCCCCCAATTAAGTTACCTATTCTTAGCTTTGGAAGGGCCTGTTTCATTCTAGAAAACGTTCTTTATTTCTAGTAATTGCTGTTTAGATTCTTACACCTGTTTCCTTGCAAAAACTTAATAAGCAATAAAATGAGATAACTATGTGCCTCTGGCAGGAGAATCCTGCTAACATTTAACCATAAGGTGCCGAGTGTGCTTTAATAATGAAAGGTGCAAAATGCTGGTGACTTAACAGTCATAAAGTAATTCCACAGAACCCGCCAGCCCTGGCAAATGTTGTGGCCTGCTACAGTGTGTTCACAGAGGAGGAAGAGGGGGAACCATGCAAGGAGAAAACTGGAGCTAGGCATCTTGAAGTACAGCTCTCCTGGCTAGAGTCGGAAGTCTGGGGATATGGTTCAATCTAATACAAAGTTGTAATAATTACTATGTCAGTAGCCAACTCTTCAGCTGGTGGCTGTGGAATTCTTCCCCTGATGTAGGATTTAATAGTCTGGCAATTAGATGCATTGATTTCTCTTAACTGTTCATTTGGATGTGTAAATGAAAGGAACTCACCACCGAGGCCAGCGTGCAGACTTGCAGCCTGGCTCTGGAAAAGACTCATTTAGGTGGCAGTGGTGGGAGAGTGTGTTTTCAAGGCAGCGTTAGGACCAGCTCCCTCTTCTTTTAACATTTCTCCCCATTTTAGCAATGAAATGAAGGGAGCCTGTTCAAGCACTGTTTAAAAACACAACAGTGTCTACTTCTGTCTGAAAAAGTAAAAGCAACCATTGCTGCCTCTGGGGCTTCGAGAGTAACATCTTTGTCTCAGGGTGACTCGACTTGGTTGCATAGTTTTGGCATGTGGTCTGTTGGATATCAGAGAAACAAAACACTTTGTCTGGGCTCTTCAGCAGAGTGTCTTTCTCTCTTCATCTCCTCCTTCACAACATTCTAGGACTTGGACCTACCTGTACCAGGATCTCTGTCAAGCCCTGAGTGGGGGTGACCTCCTTTGGGTGTTAAGGCCATCATCTTGGACCTTTTGGAAGGCTGGTGGTTGGATACATCAATGGTTCAGAAAGTGTGTACAGTATAAACTCTCTTGAACATTAGTTCCCCCTTACTTCCTGCTCCGGGACCTGCTGTTTTTCTTAAGTGTCACTAACTTATGGTATGCAGGCATCCATTACCTGTTTCGAGGTAATCTAGTGGTGGATGGCTAGGTTTCCTGATGGCCCCATCCATTTTGCAAGGTGGGTGGGTGGCTTTAGGTGCTTGATTTTCCTGAACCCTGGCTTCATGAAGTAAAATCCAAACTTGTCTATGCATGGTACACTGATGTTTGCAAAGAGTATTATCTTTATTTCTTGAAAATATTTGTATAGATATCCGGGTTTCTTCCTATCTGAGTGAGTGTCGGTAAAACAGAAGAGTACCTTGGAAACTCTTAGTGCCTGGTTATAATAGGTAACCTCAATAGGTGTTGTTGGGCCAATTTGTCAATTTCTGCAAATTCCCGTTGGCTTGCAAGGGCGTTTTGTGTGTAGTTATATTAGTCTGTAATCAGAGTAGTTTTGCACTCAAAGTGGAATAGTGAAGTCTGTATTGGTTATATATCCCACTTGAATATTTCAGTGCTGGCTGTCAGTTCCCTTAGCCTGCTGTGGGCTCAAGGCAGGGTGAAGTGAGTGGGGGAGATAAAGATGGAAACTTTGGATTCATAGCGTACCTGCCAGGATGGGGTGGCAGCCAGCGACTGGGGTTGTACACTCAGTAAAAAAAAATATTTTACTGCTTTCAAGGATCACCAATTATCTGATTGCTCTGCATGGCTGTCTTTAAGGAGAGTGCTGTTTTACCTATCTTCTTGTACAAATGTTTGATTTTTAATGTCTTGTGAAAAGGGTTCTCTTTGTCTTGATTGATGTCAGGAATAAAAGCATGATGGTAATATCCCTTTGAAAGCTATTGTATTGCTGTTGCTGCTGCTAAAGATGGCCACATTTTGAGGAGTAGGTTTTCTTTTTTTTTTTTTAATATTTATTTATTTTTTTTTTTTTTAGTTTTCGGCAGACACAACATCTTTGTTTGTATGTGGTGC